AACAGACATGGTTTTTTCCCCTCTTTGTGCATGTATGTGGGTGAGTTAGATAAGGAAGGAATGAGAATGTCTGGAGGTTTTAATTTCTTAAGCAACATCCCCCAGAGCTTCGTCAAGACCAGATAGTCACATTTACAAGATGGTCACATACTGTGCACACTAGGGTTATTATAGTTTTAGAAATTTCACTAGTCAAACAAAGTCCCTAACAAAGTCACTAGTTTTTTAAGTGTTTTGTAACAATCTCATATCTGTCCATGATGGCAAATACACCATACTTAATAACATCAAATTCACAGAAACGCAGAATACTGTACTGCAGAAGTTGCAGTCAAAGAAATGTGTTGTGAATGTGCCATTGCTGCTACATTTTGCAGATAAGTGCTCTGGCTTTGGGGCATTTATGATTCTGCAGTTTGATCTGGAAACCTTACCTCACTTTCTAATTGGGCAGATGCCAGATAGTCAGAAGTCAGGGTTGGAATTTGGAAGATTGATTAAAGCTGTCCAGCATTGATTAAAAATCAATTAGTCTCTACTTTGTAGCATTTTGACAAGTCTTTGGTGGAGATTATGCAGTCTGTAGCTTTAATCTGTAATGGTAAAAATTTCCACTTGTATAGAGTTGTAAATTAAATCCAAAAATCTCTTTCTATATATGTATTTCATAAGGACGATGTCAAGGAGGCTAATCCTGGCCGCATCAGGACTGTTATCTCTAAGGATCCCATTATATTGCCCTTTGGAAAGGCAGACATCAATGTGACTCTGCTGCTGTATGACCGTGTGGAGTTCCAGTTGCTGACAAATGTTATTACCAAGGAACAAAGAGCCACAAACATCAAACCAAAAACACCCAACACGTTTCAGCTCACCAAAGAAATCAGGGAGATGGTAAGGGTCCCATCATATTCCACTGACCTTTTTTCTATGTTTGTCTGTGAAAGTGTAGGACTCATGAATTCTATGCTTATGCCGAAGGCCGTGTTCATTCTTTTTATTTTATAGAGAAGAATGCATCTCGACCAAAATTGCATTGTCGCTGTTTACTGTATGATTCTGAAAAATGTTCTACTTGAATGCCTGTGTAAAGAATGGCAAAACTCTTAGAGATGTCTTTGTCTAGACCAGAGTGAAGGTGACAGTAAAGCAGTCTTACTCTGCAACAAATGCGACTGAGAGCAAAGTGAGAACAGGAAGTTAAGATTTGAGAGCAAAAGGAAATGAGCAATGAAATTGAAATTGAACAATGTCATTAAATATAAAGATGATGCTTTGTGTATATATTATATCATATAAAGATTGTTTTGGTGTTCTTAGGTTAGAATTTAAAGGGTTAGATCACCCAAAAATGAAAGTTAGCCCATAAATTACTCACCCTCAAGT